TAATAACATTTTAAAAGGAAAAACATCTCTTATGTTTTATTTTCGACACCCGGAGAGTTTAATCATTGTCTATTCTCACTTCCGATAAATTTCTTCCTTTGTCAATACCATAAGCAACAAACTAGAGAAAGCGGTCTTTTTCGTCGCGTTACTGACGATCATTAAGATTATCAATGACATATTTCCGTCCATATTGATTCAGTTTTCCTCATCACATCGAAAGCAGAATTTGCGAACGAATCTTAAGAATATTTTGAACTTGCCTCACTGATAACGAAAGTGTTTCTATCCTTCAACGAATTGAGTTTGAGTCAAATGCAGAAAGGGCGGTTTTCAAATAGAAAAGAAAGCAGCATGCTGAGGAAGAGTGCAATGCTGAGTAAACTTATCAGTTTTTCCGAATTTCCATAGCAACAGAATTATATTTGCTACCTTTCTTTTGTGCTTTGACTCAATTTCATGTTCCTATTTTTGGGTGCAATACATATCCGGAAGTTTGAAATACTTTGAGTAAGCTAAAGCCTTTATACAATAGATCTCAGTTGCCTTAATCGTTTTATAAGCATCATTAGAAACAAACTAAAATATTCGACATACTTGTAAAAGATTGTCGATGTGCGTAAATAAGATAACAAAGATGGCAAGAGGGGATCAAGTCCTCTCTTTAACATGGTAAATGTTGTACTCGGTAATGAAACTAAGAAAGATCTTTTCATCGTCTCGTCACGAAAGAGTAACGAAGGCTGAGAAGCAACAGGCTTTTCACAAGAGGTCTCAAATTCATCAACTGTTTCATAAGCAATAAAAGAAGGAAAAATAGCTAAAAATTCTAAAATTTTTCACGGGCTGACAAGGATTTTCCATAACTCCTCTCCACCCATTTTACTTGGTTTTACCTCATCTCACCGATGTCAGAGTTTGTAAACGATTGAAATCTTATGAACATACCTCACTGATAACGAAGTACTTCGTATCCTCTTGGAGTTGGAGTTCCAATGAATAAGAAAACAACAAGCCAAGGAATAGTGATAGAGAATAAGCACACCACTATTAAGACTCGAAATTAGTTTTCCAAATGCCGAGATATGATATCTAAATGTCGGAAGACGTTTTGAGTGCAGGTGAACAGGAACAACAGATAAGCTTTACTACACCTGTTCGTCGTTAATTCAAACAAGGTTCTGTATCTAAGTGAATCCAAACCGCCGACAAAACAGCCTCCTCTTGGGAATCAATACCTGAATACCAAATAAATGAAGAAGAATAGTTTCTAGAAACCTTGAATGGAGTGTTGAAAGCTTTGAAAGCTTTTGGTGTTTACAGGCCTAGGAGAAGTTATATCAAACAAGAAGCAATCTAACTGGCTGAGCAAACATTTCAAATTTTTTTTAATGTTTTTAATGATGAATAGTCCACAAAATTTTCTTTTTTCCTCTAAAAAAACTTCTTCAGTCGATTTTTCATTTCTTATGTCGGCACTGAACTGGTCATTTTCCTTTGTTAAAAATAAACTTCTCTTGAAAACTTGGTTCCCTGTTTTATTCAGTTCAAGGAATTGCCTATCTTAACTCAAATTATTAATTACAGGTTTAGATTATATTTCCAATGAAGTATTCGCAAGATAACAGCATAGAAGTTTAATGAAAAGAAGTCTTTAAGGCGATGGTGAAGACCGTGCATCTTTTACATGTAGTTATATAAAGACTGCGTTGTTGAAAGCTGGTAATAATTTCTTAATTAAAGACTTTATTTTCTTACAAGGTACCTCAAAAGAATAATCATCAAGTAGACAGTCTCTTTTTCTGTTGTAATATCACATCTTAAATTAAAAACTATTTTCATGAACAAGAAACTAATCAACAGCCTTGTGTTTCACTGTCTCACAGGCGGGATCATAAAGGAGGTTATTAAGGGGGAAATGATAGGTTAATTCAGTCATCATCCTCGATTATTTTGCGTTCGATTTCAAGCGAAAGAAAATCCTTCGGAAGCCCACTAATCGTTGCGCTTGTATCGTTGCTTAGTTTTCTATAAGCGACAAAATGCATTGGTTTTCATTTTAATCATTAAGATGTTTGTACTGTTTCTATCCTTAGTCAACTCTTATGAGTCTTCTCTTCTACGCTCAGCCAGATTCAAAGACAGAAGTGTTTCGCGTAACCAATTTGCAGATCCCAGATCATATAAAAGGGTCTCAATGCGCTTAACCGTGAGCCGTAAAACGGCCAAAGCATTTTGCCTTTAGGCGTAAAAAATTGACAAATTTTAATCGTTAGTCGTAAAAAGAGTTAGCCGTAAAAAATGTTTCAGGTGAAAACAAAGGTGTTAACTGTTAGCCGTAAATTGGCCAAAAATTTTAACCGTTAGCCGTAAAAGCCATCACCTCATTGAGACCCTCCGATAAAAACTTAAAGTCAAAATGCAATATTCAAAGCGTCGCGTTTTAAGGTGTTTTGGCACCTACTGTGTGTTTTATTTGAGGCGACTTTGTCCCGAAGTTTTTGCGTTCATTTACATAGTTTACATAAACGAATGCAAACTCTTGAAGGCTGTATTTTAGATCGACGACTGGAAATATATACATAATGAAGCAATTTAAGTGAGAGTTAATGAGAGTCAATGTTATATT